TAGCTTTTGTATAAACATATATGAAAACTTTCAAATAATGAACAAATAAAAGTTTTGATAGCGTGGAATTTATTTCTTTTATTGAACTTCTTGACATTCTGAGAAATCAAGTTAATTCTCATCCGGAAGAAATACTTGAAACTGTTTATATTCTGAATGTAATGCTTATACAGATATGTGCTTAACCAGAGTTTCTGATATACAAGTATTAACTGTCTCATTGGCTGTTCTTTAACTTCGCAATCAGAATTCTCCCTTAAAAGTCCACCGGTGGACTTACAAGGCTAAAATCTGGGGTTTGATTCCCTATGGTGGACTTTTAAGGGAGAATTCTGATTCCCTGCGGTGGATAGAGCTCAGATAGCCCATTGTGCAGTTTTGCACTTTCAATTCATAATAGTATCCTCATAAGTGGGATTTTGACAGACAAACGTAAAAAACGTTTCGGTTCAACGAAGTAAAAGGTTTGGTTTGCTATAAATTTTGCGCAAAGCTACCCGAGTCCTTAATTTAGCAGTGAAAGACTAGAGGGAAGGCAGCTAGTCATTACTAATGAATAGTGGGATTGACCATCTCATTATAACGTTCCCCACGGCTGAAAAGGCGAGCATGTTTGGTGGGATGGGGATTCGAACCCACGCCCCTCACATTGCGAGTCGAGCTCCCTAACCACCAGGCCATGGCGGGCCTACGAAGTAAACGAGTAAAATGAGATTATTTAATCTCTGTGCTACTAACTATATGAAGCACTTTTCATATTTATGAGAAACTTTTTTTTCTGATTGAAGACTAGGATTTTTTCTTAAGTTCAGAACTTTCATGAATTCACTTCATTTTTTGTTTGTTTGTTGTTAAACGCAAAGCTGCACAATGTACCATCTGTGGTCTGCTCATCGCTGGTATCAGAATGCGATTTTTAGCGTTATAAGCCCTCAGACTTACCGGTAGGCCACTGGAGTCATATTTCATCGACCATCTCGGAAATTTACTGTAGCGGCAAAGCAATTTTATTAAATTTCGCACAATGCTATGCCTCTAAGTGGCTCAGCGGTATGTCTGCGGATTTATAACGCTAAAAACCAAGTGGTGGGCACAGCACAGACAGCCCTTTATGTAGCTTTGTGTTTAATTGCAAACAAACAGACGATGCTACACGAGGGTTATTTACGTTAACCGTCCCTTATTTTGATCTAGTAGAATTGAGGGATTTGGTAAACACTACCAAAGCCACAGTCCAGCAAGCTAATTACTATCCGCGTTCGCCCCATCCCCGTTTAGATAAATGTTGTAACGAATGAAGTCGATTGAAGAAACTAAACTGTTAGATATGAAAATTATAATATTATTTTTAAGGGGGGAAATTGCGCGTTTAGCTAAACCCTAAAACTGTACTAGTCTATACAGATTAGCACTGTTGGACTAAACTTACTAAGAAAGGAAACAGCATGTCAGTGACGTCAGAAAATAAAAATTACAATACTTTATACCATGTACTTTATTTTCGACATTTTATAGTCACGTTTATGAGAGAGTGATTTAAAGATATCATACTATTTTCAACACATATTCTGCTCTCATACTACTTATGATTGTTATCCATTTATTTACATCTACTTCACTAACACAGAGGAATTGGATATATATATATATATGGGGCGGACTGTGTGCTGGGTTTGTATAACACAGACGTCACTCATTATAACAATATCCACTCTTTTAACGGATAGTTACCGTACTAAGTAACGATATAAACACTACACCTCGTATTGTATATGAGCTGTTTATTATACCATTGTCAACATAGCTCCCTTGTAAATATTGTTTCATAAATCGACCACATTGTGAAATTAGGAAAAAAGAAGTTTACCCGAACGCACTCTAGTAGAAGAAACAAGGGATATAAGACTCAGTTCTATGTGAAATTGATTCCTCGGAGTCGTTTAGTGCTTTATTTCTATGTGAAAAAGGACCAGATCCCTATGAAGTGTTGATTTTTTGTATAATGAAAAAAAAAAACCGACCATAATCTCCAGAACAAGATTACATTTATTTAACCCAGCATTTTGTTTCTACAACTTCTTCATGAGCGACTTACTACGTACACTGTTACTCTCACAATGCGTAAATTTGTTCTATGGACAATTTATTGTAGAGTATGAAACAATGCCACGAGGGATAACATTGTTTACATCGAACCAAGACTAAAATAAGTAGCAACGTCAAATGTCTGACGACACGAATGTTGGTGTTCTTTACGAATTTAAAATAATTCTCTTCTTTTATTCATTTTTCTACAGCTAAAATGTTTCATGCAAATTAAAGCACGATCCCTTTATACTGTGTACAAAAATCAAAAACTTGATAATAGAAATGTATTATTTTAGATATAAAAACATTTTCATCTAACTTATGTTTAAAACAACATATACAATATGATTTATCAAGACATAGAGCCTTCATCTACCTTTTCGCCATTAGAGAAAGGCCTACGGTGTACGCACAGAAATCACTTTTCATTGAAGAACTTGGGTAATTTCTCTACAGTCAGTCGCAGTTTAATAAATTATAAATATTTTTACTCTTGACTTCTCTGTCACGAGAAAGTTGGTAGTTGTTGTTTAAGACTCATAACGTAGGTAAATTAACATGTAGAATTGTAAACGGATTCTTCTCTACGTTAAAATAATTTTATTGCGAGCTTTCGACCCTCTTACCGGAGCCTTCATCGGGCAACATTGCTCCGGTAAGAGGGTCGAAAGCTCGCAATAAAAGTATTTTAACGTAGAGAAGAATCCGTTTACAATTCTACAAAGTTGATAGTTGTTAAACAGAAGAAAAAAAATTACATGACTGATAACTTGGAAGTAAATACAACTTTACTTATATTAGAAGAAAGAAAAACGACAAAAAAACTTAACTATTTGTAAGTTTCAGTTGTCGATCTGTTAATATGGAAGACGTTTTGCAGGTTCACACAGACTGTTCTTAAGAGAACTAAAACAAAAAGATTGAAGATTGAATTAACAGCAATTGAATGACATTTACATGTTCTATTTTGATGACGAAACTCCTTGATACATGGAGCGTGAGCAAGTGACGTCAGTTTGCTGGTGTATAGTACAACATTGATGGTGGTATTGAGTGACAAATAGTCATTAATATAAACCTAGTTATGTAACAAAAAACGGTAATAAGTGTGTAATGTAAACCTAGTTATATAACAAAAAAACGGTAATAAGTGTGTAATGTAAACCTAGTTATATAACAAAAAAACGGTAATAAGTGTGTAATGTAAACCTAGTTATATAACAAAAAAATGGTAATAAGTGTGTAATGCAAACCTACTATATAACAAAAAAACGGTAATAAGTGTGTAATGTAAACCTAGTTATATAACAAAAAAACGGTAATAAGTGTGTAATGTAAACCTAGTTATATAACAAAAAACGGTAATAAGTGTGTAATGTAAACCTACTATATAACAAAAAAAACGGTAATAAGTGTGTAATGTAAACCTAGTTATATAACAAAAAAAACGGTAATAAGTGTGTAATGCAAACCTACTATATAACAAAAAAACGGTAATAAGTGTGAATAGTTAGATATTCTGTTCATAACACTAACTGTTAACCACCCAGTGACACAGCGGTAAGTTTGACGGCTTATAATGCTAAAAATCTGGTTTCGATACCCATGGTGGGCACAGCACAGATAGCTCATTGTGTAGCTTTATGTTTAACTACAAACCCTAACTGTTATCGGCCATAAATACAGCAATATCTCGCAACGTTTGACCTAAATTAGGATATTTAAGTTAGTCTTAAATCTATATATTAAGTTAACAACGTAAATGTATCTTCATAACATAAATATAATATTAACTATATATATATATATATTAAACATTCTAACCATCAGTGCTAATGAAAGTAATATTCAAAAAAAGTACAACTCACTTATGGAGCACATAAACACTGGTTGTTAGCTGCAAGTACTGTCGTAGATTTAATGCTTGTTGAACAACTGAAAATTAGTATAACCGTTTTTCATATGAAGTATTTTAATGAACCTCATTCATTGCTTTGGGGCAACGTCCCGATCTTTTTTGCGAAATACGGTCCAATTCAACCCAATGATATATGCAGAAACGCGTCATCAATGTGGACTTATATAGTGTCGATACTATATAGAATGTGTTCGTTATGGAACCGTGGTAACTACAATCGTAAATAAAAATATATAGAAAGACGAAACGAAACAAAAATTAACATTGCGACATTGGTGGCTTCCGTATTTTAGCATAACCTGAGGTCGTATATAACTTCTCATTCTTGTAAGGAAGTTTCTTATCTGATAGCCGATATTTCAGAACTGTTCAAACCATTTCAATAACTTAAATGATTACCGAATACTAAACGCGAATGACATCGTACGTGTACCGAGATATATGTTATCAGTAATTAAGCCATATGCATATTTTTTTTAATGTGTTACTACGCTATTATCATTTTTTAGGGAAGTATAGCATATCTTTAGAAAATCTGTCTCTCTTTTTTGTTTGTTTGTTTGAAGCTAGTAACTACCACTTAAACATTTCGTGAACACATAATCACACAAGCGCACGTGCCACATGTAGGATCTGAAACGTCACTTCTGTATAGAACGGCGGGGACACTAAATACATACTCTGAATAGAGTATTAAAAATGTAGCCAACGATTTTAATAGCAAAGGGGAAAAACTTTCAATTACCTTAAAATTCAATATGTAAAAGTTGAGAGTTGGAAACATGTCATTGGAAAAGGGCATATTTTCTTTTTTTTTCACAGATTTCAAAACATATTCATTATTAACTAAATCTAGGGACTGTTACAGTTATAGTTGCTACCTAATAGCTCTAACGTATATAAGGAAAACATCTGTTGGTGTTTGAAAAAATTCGGCATTTTCGTTAAATCATAACACTAGAGGATAATAAGGTATATACTATTTTTTTAACAGATGTCTCTCGAGAGAAAACCCTACATCCCCTGTGGATAAAGTTCCTATCTGATGAAGTTAATAAGAGGCTTTTTGTGACAGATCAACATGCAATACCTAGCACAAAATCAACCCAGCACAGTGCCCTTTCTCTGATGGCAGCATCTTTACCAGAATTTTCGAACTTTTTCGATAATCCTTCCTGTATGCACACAATGCTACAGAACTTATACTCACTTCCCCAGGCATGTGTTGCATCTCCTTTTCCCACACTTCCCCACCCTTTCATCTCAACGATCGAACGTGCTAGTCACGTGGTCAACTGTCCACGTTTCCTGACTGAAATCACCGAAAGTCCAATTAAGGATAAAAAAAAGACAGTAAGACCTGAGAAAAAACTGCCAAATAGGGTCGTGCACTCTGAGTTACCCACTTCTATGCCTAAAAAGAAACCTAGGTTTGACTTTTCAAAGCTAGCCGAATCTGCTACTACTAAGGACGATAGCCTGGATTGTTCTTCTCCTAGACCCACAGATCCTCAAACATGTGAAATTCAAACTCAGCCATCAATGTCTTCCATTATTGCCAGACAAACGTTTCCTCTTGTCCCACCTTACTACACTAACATGGACGTTGGACTCTTCTGTCAAAAGGCAACACTGCAAAGATCTTCTTCGCGTCCCAAAAAGGAATTCATTTGTAAATATTGTGAACGAAGATTCACAAAGTCTTACAACTTGTTGATTCATGAACGGACGCATACCGACGAACGACCTTACACCTGTGATATTTGTCAAAAAGCCTTCAGGAGACAGGACCACCTTAGAGACCACAGGTACGAACATTTTTCACACTTTTAACCCGTTCGTTCCTGTATAGATAAAATATTAGTAACTATTATTTTATTACTACGTTTAATAAAAATACATGCTTTCCAACAAGAACTAACCACTATAATTCTACTTTGTTGTTGAAGAAATGTAACGTATACTATATAAAACATACTGAAGTGACTGAAATTACATGATTTGACTACATTTCTGTATATATTATTTTAAACCTTGGTAACATTTTGAATTCTGCCAGTTTTAATTTTAGTAACCAGAACAGCACGTAACTTGATATATATATATATATGTTTAACAAGTGAAATCAATTAATAAGCTGATTTTTTACTCACTAGGTGGCTAATGAGTTTATTCTTCCTGTTTAGTTGTTGGATTTATTTCCAGGTTTATTCACTCGAAGGATAAACCGTTTAAGTGCAGTGATTGTGGAAAAGGCTTTTGTCAGGCCCGGACCTTAGCGGTGCACAGAATCCTGCACATGGAAAGCTCTCCTCACAAGTGTCCTACGTGTGGCCGTACTTTCAACCAGAGGAGCAACCTGAAAACCCATCTCCTCACCCACACCAACCTCAAACCCTATAACTGTAGTTCATGTAGCAAAGTCTTTCGTCGAAACTGTGACCTTCGTCGCCACCTTCTAACGCACACAGTTGATTTTCCAGAACAACGGGAAAGTTGCACTTCTCTTTCTTTAAATATGGCCGCTTGCGGGGGGGCCGAGGCGATTTCTTTGCATAACAAGATTTTTCATGTCGAGAAGAATTCTCAGTCCCATACTCCAGAGGTGCTAGACGTGGAAAACTGAATATTTTATATGTAGTTTGAAAGCATAGTTCTAGATTGACTTGGTTCGCTGACTTAGCGTCTCCATTGTCATTAAATGTAAATATTACAAAAGCCAAGAAAGTTGTATACTAAACAAAAGTTAACATTAACTTATTGCCATGATTAAAACGTGTTATATTATAAAACAATGTGATTCAGATTTATTCAAAGGAATGTTATGATGAATTCATGTGTTTCTTAAATATATTAAAAAAGTATTTTAAGTTGGAGTTGTTTTTTTATTGTATTTTATATACAAACATCTGAAGAGAGGAAATCATGTTTTTTTTTTCCTAAATATATTCACTGTATAAAATCCTATCGGTTTAGAAATGACAAAACAGTCATCCTTGAGCTAAACATTGCTCGTTTGTTGATACAAAATGAGTCCGGAAATCAAATGATTTGTTAAATCACTTTTCAGAAATTCTTTAAATCCTAGATTATCAGGTTTCTTGATTTGTGTGTTATCAATGTTTCATCCGACTCGTTTAAATATTGGCCATTTATACAAGGAAGTGGAGAACTACTTTTGTTTAAAATGTACATCAGCAACAGAGTTTCAAGATTACGTACTTCGCTTTATATCTATAAAAAAATATAAAAGCTCTTGCTTTATATACACAGACTTAAATCCCCTAATTATAAAAACGAACTCTAGGTAGAACGTTCACATTTTTCTCGTTTTTTTATAAGTAAATTTTACAATTTATTTCTTATAAGAGTTTTCATCTATGCTTGAAAGATAATAACATTAACTTGCTCTCAAAACACTCCGAATTGTGTCTATAAACATACAAGTAATATGATTGGAATATATGTTAACATTTTTAGCATTATCGTAATAAATCAAAAAATTTAAACTGAGTATTTCTAAAGTCGTGTAAGAATTAAACCATGTACAGAAATTATTGCAAAACGCCGAACATGGTAACACATTGTGAAACTAAAATATAAAATATGAATAGAGCAACATTGTGCGATGAACTTTATTCAAAAATATAGGCAAAACAACGTTTACTTTACACAATAAAATTATTTTTTTAAAATTAAAATTGACTACATGTTTCGGTAGGTTCCGCTACCGTCATCAGTAGTACAAATTTACGCGAACAGCGGTTTTTTTTATACACTGAAATTCACCTGGACGACATGAATACTGCACATATGAAGTAATTTTTAATTAATTAAAATTTTATTGTATAATATGAACGTTGTTTTGTCTATATTTTTAAATATTGTGAAACTAGCTGGAGTATCCGTCCTCTGGACGGAAGTTGTGTAAATTCATGATTAAAGAAAGGTTATCTTAGGACATGAAAAGTTGCTTCTCTTATGTGTAATTGTAAAAAGTGCAAAATGTGAAACCGCAAATTTGCATGTATCTCCGCATGGACCGAACAAACCTCCATGTTAAATTTAGTGAAGATCCATCAACAGGGGGCAAAGTAGTGGTAAAAAACGCTCATAAAAACCGCAAAAATGCATAACTGAAAATTTGAATGTATCTCCCCATGAACCCAATGAACATCTGTACCAATTTTGATAAAGATCCATCCACACCCTGCGAAGTAGTTACATGGACATACAGCAGACAGTACTATTATATTTATATAGATACAACACAATTGTTATACGATGCTCACTTATACTGATGCTACGTTGTTCAACGAACATTAAATATACGATAGTATTTGAAACTGACAACTAGTGTCTATGTGTTCCGTAACTGTGGTATATTTTATTCTATCGTTGACGTTACTTTAATTTAATAATATTGATTAGGATTTTTAATATTCCTTTTTATTATTATATTAGTATTATACAAGTTGTTTTGCACTGTTAACTTGCTATATGGATTTAGGACTAACTTAAATCTTTTAGGCTGGCCGAACCTCGTTAGATATTATTGATGAAACAACGCATTAGAAGCTTCATCAGTAAGAAGATTGTACTTAATTAGCTATACTGATCAATGGGTTGATTCTTAAATGAGTAGTTTGCTTTGGTCTTAATTTAGATTAATAATAATGTCTACGTTTATACGAGCAGAAGTTTAACCTTGAGTTCGGTTACTGTCGATCATGGTAGTAAAACAGCACAAGCTTGACGATGTAGCAGTTGGAGTGGTTAAAACTGCCTTACTAGGAAGCGCTAAGAGGCCAACGCAAAACTTCAGATGATGGAGCACTCGTGCAGCACGCGACAAGTATCGGGTTGAAATCCGATGCAAGGGGAAAATATATCTATCTATAACACAATATTCTTTCGTCAACCTTTAATCAACTGATAGTAGAGAAAATACGTTTTTCTACAGTTGACGTTAGATTATAGCGAGGATGTCAACTGTAGAAAACTTTCAATTCCCGTTTAAATAAACTGACTGATTACCAGAACAATGGAAGAGCGTTCCATACTTCAGTGAGAGTGTTCGAAACGGATTAACAGTTCGAATTATCAGGAGCACTATAGAGTTTTAGAACTCCATTTTAGTTGTGAAAAATAATTTTCAAATAAAAAACAAAACTTTCCACCTTATACGTCAACGCCAGAAAATATAGAATGTAGTTTGTTTGATTGTTTGTTATTAAGCTCGAAGCTACACAATGGTTTATCTACGCTCTGCCCACCACGGGTATCGAAACTCAATGTTTAGCGACATAAGCTCTCAGAATTGCCAATGAGCCACTGGAGGGCTTAAGCATAGTAATTTAAAACTAAACTACAAAATATATTTGTACGAATAACGCATAACAGACGTAATAAAATCACAATTAAACCAACAGCTCGGGGCTCCTCAGTGGCACAGCGGCATGTCTGCGGACTTACACGGCTAAAACCCGGGTTTCGATACCTGTTGTGAGCAGAGCGTAGATAGCCCATTGTGTAGCTTTGTGCTTAACTACAAACAAACCAACCAACAGCTCGGACATAGGTATTTCGGTGTTTCCACCCAGGTAACCCATAGAGAGTAAATACAAATTTCATTATTTCAATGAAACAACAACAAACTTTCAAAGCCTAATCCAATTAATTTTATACTTTTGTTCGATTTGCAAAAAACTACTCATAAGTCCCAGATGATGCACCTCAAAAGGTATATACGAAATATTTCCGGTTTGTTAGTTTTTGGTTTGTTTTGAATTTCGCGCAAAGTTACACCAGAGCTATCTGCACTAGCCGTCCCTAATTTAGCAGTGTAAGACTAAAGCAAAGGCAGCTAGTTAACACCACCCACCGCCAACTCTTAGGTTACTCTTTTACCAACGAATAGTGGGATTGACCGTCACATTATAACGCCCCCACGGCTGAAAGGGCGAGCATGTTTGGTAGAACAGGAGATTTGAACCCGCGACCCTCAGATTGCAAGTCGAGTGCCGTAACCACCTGGCAATGCAGGGCAGTTAGTTTTGTGAAACGATAAAATGTCATTTAGGAAAAATATCGCGATGCATACACTTTCATAACATTTTTTTCTCGAAATGAGATTAGCTAAAAAATTATTTGAATTATATGCATATAAAAGTAACTGGTAGCTTTGGATAAATAAGACTTGCCTTTTAGTATCTTGTTTAGATCCTCTACTACATTTTTTTATCAATGTATTAGGTCGTCAATAAATTAATGTCGCTTTTTTTTTAGATGAAAAAACCCGAACAACTTATATATATCAAAATAAAATATTTATTAAATGAAATAGTCTCCATTCTTATCGATGATGCTTTTTCATCTTACACTCAAGTTGTTAATGCCCTGATTAAAGAAATCACTTGGCTTTGAAGCAAAAAACATGTCGATGTCCTCTTTAACCCCTCCCACATTTGCATACGTTTTCTCATTAAGATGGTGTTTCAGCGAACGAAAAAGATGGTAATCTGATGGTGACAGATCTGGAGAATATGGTGGGTGGGGGAGAACTTCCCAACCCCACTCCATAATCTTTTGTTGCGTCAAACGTGCTACATGTGGGCGTACATTGTTATGGAGAAGAATAACACCTTTCCAATTGACGAGTGAAGGGCATTTCTGATGATGGGCTTGATTTAAACGTTCCAGTTGCTGACAATAGATCTCTGCATTGACAGTTCACTGTGTATTTAGGAGTAAGAAATGAATCACTACTTTGATGTCCCACCAAATGCAAAGCATCACTTTCTGCGGATGGAGTCCAGGTTTTGGGGTAGGAAGTGGTTTTTGTCTAGGACTGAGCCATTGTTTTTGGCGTTTAATATTCTCATAGAGAATACATTTTTCATCACCGATGACAATTCTGTCCAAAAACGGTTCACGCGCATTACGCGCCAGAAGAGACGAAACAACATTCACACGTTGGAAACGATAATCATGGGAGAGTTCGTGAGGCACCCAAACATCTTCTTTATGGAGTTTTCCCATATTCCTTGGATGTTTGCGTATTGTTTCATGAGAGACATGCAATTCCAGGGCCATTTCACGAGTGTTTTGCCTTGGGTTAGACTTAACAAGCGTCTTCCGAACATCAATATCAATTCCAACATGTCGGCCCCTGCCATCACAGTTTTTAAGGCTAAAGACACATGAACGAAATTTGCTGAACCATCGTTGACACTTACGAACGTTCAAAAATTTGCATAAACTTCTTTGTGGCTACAGAGGCGTTGTTTCCCCTTCTTGTATTCAAACAGCATTACATGCCGAATGTGTATCTCGTCCTGTGCCATCACTATAAGGGATTAGAGTATACTTAACTTTACACATTATATAGGATACACTAACGTGACGTTTAGGCGGTTCGTTTAACTATTATACGTGATGTACGTTTTTGGGGGGATGGTTAATGAAAGTGTTCCAAAACGCGACATTAATTTCTTGACGACCTAATATTACGTTCTTTAATAGTTTCTTTCAAAATTAAAATTTGCCTTTAGTCGAGATTTTTATATAACATATATATAATTTAAATATTCGAATCTTCTACAACTTTAGCTTAGACACATGAACATCAGTGCTGGTTAGTGTATTATGAAATTAAATGCTGATCATTTTCCTTAATATAGATTCCATTTCGTCTGATGTAACTGCATTGCGTTTTATTTAATTTTTGTCTGTTTCACACTCGTGAACACAAATCTGCCTTGTTATATAATAGAAACAATAAATACAGTATTCAGGGAATAAAAGAAACAAAACTTGTGATACATGGCAAAATAAAGCCAGATAAGTCAAGAAAATTTGATAAGTCAAG